GACGGGCCCCGCCCCGTTTCCCTCGCTCCCTCCCTGCCTGCCCTCCCAGAACAAGCATGTGCCACATTGCCAGGCGTTGGTGCGTGAGAAAGCACTTCCCAGAAAGTGTTTAATCCTCACAGAAGCTCAGGGAGGTGGGTCGGGGTCCGCCCTCAGGATGAACAGAGGAGGCCTGGGACCCAGGCTCACCCCCGGCACCCCCCCGCCCCCCCCACCACACCCGCGGTTCTGCTCCAATGCCTGCGCTGTGCTGGCCACTTCCTGCTCCTCACAGGACATCTGCTCACCGCAGCACAGCCGGGCTGGCCTCACACCAGCCTCCGCAGACATCTGGGCCCTCCTCCGGTGCTGCTGGTGCCCCGGGGCTTGGCAGAAGGAAGGACACAGGACACGAGTTTGGTTCAGAAGTGAGAGGCCTGGTGCATTCAGGGTTCACAGAGCTGGCTCTGACCCCCAGCACCTGCCAGGGTGGGGGCGGGGGGCTGCTCGCAGAGCTTACAGTTTGGCAATTTCTCCGGTGTCCATCAGCAAACTCTCTCCTCAGACCCCCAGTCACACAGTGGGGTAAGGGTAGAGTGTGATTCTAGGCAGGTCTGCTGGCCTGGCATCATGGTAATTAGGCCCTTTGGAGAGGCCGAGGGCCCTACACAGCCTGCCTTTCGGCAGGGGGCTAAGGCTGGTCTTTGGCTGAAATGTAACTAGACAAGGACCCTAAGTCCTGGCTGGTGAAGGGGGTGAAGGGCCATCTCAGGGGCGGGGAAAGGGCTAGCGCTCCTGCCCAGCCTCCCAGGCCACCAGAATCTACCTTTGGCCAAGCGCTCTCCCTGCTTTGGGCTGCAAATCAAGGCACATTGAGGGGAGGGAGTAGCCCCAGGTAAAGGCACTATAAGAACCGTCATGGCTTACAGTAGGCCATAGCCCAGGAGGTCTGGACCCCTAGGGGAGGAGTGAGGGAAAGGAGCCCTCAGCACCGACTTCTGCCACTGGCTCCCGTGGGCGGTCTTATCCTCACGCCATTCAGAGTCTAGTGCAGGTGCCTGCAGGGACCGCCCGGCAGGTCACAGTCGCCGGGGTCCCAGCTGACCTAGTATCCTCTACCTTCAGTTCAGAGGCCCGTCTTCTTCCCTTTTATCCCATCAGACCTGCTGGGGGGACCAGAAGCACCAAGAAGCCCAGGAAAGGAGAAATCAGGGGGCTGGGGCCGCCCGGGAGACCCTACCACATTAAGGTAGAAAGATAAGGGCTCACCCATCTGGGCCCTGCAGGGCGAGGCTGGCCCCGTGGAGGGAGGGTGTCGGGCGTAAAGGAGAGAGGACACTAGTCAAGCTTCCACTTCATGTAAACAAGGAAGAGCGACCCCTGCCCAGACACTGAGAGTCTTGTGGAGACGCAGCAGATCCTCACGTCTGGGAGACAGGGTCCCTGAGGCCAGGATGGAGGCTGCTGGGCGGGAGGCAGTTGGGGTCTGATGTGCAAAGTGGTGCAGGGTTTGACCTGTGTTCTCCACGAAACGGGCAGCGGGGCATCCAGGTCCTGTCCACCACTGGCCTGAGGCTCAGGAAATCACGCAATTGCTGGACTTGGCAGGACTGGGACTTGATTTACCTGCAGAGACAAGGGACACAGACAGGAAAGGTTGTGAGTGAAGGGCTCAGTGGACTTGCCTCCAGCTCCTCTCCTGTGCGCACCGCCCACACCTCAAGTTTGGGGCTGGGTCACTGTCTCCCTCCCAAACTGCTGACCTGGAGGCAGGTCAGTAGGGCCCCAGGGAAGCAGAAGGAAAGACGCTCCCGGGCGTGGCAGCCTTGGCAAGACCGCCCCTGGCTGGGCCATCGAGGGATCTGCCCTCTTCTGATTTCAGGGGGACAGGGGGAAGGATGTAGACCCCAAACCAACAACCATAATCCATGACTGAAAGTCTCGTTAGGAGGTGGTTCACCTGTCGCTAATACCGGCTGCAGCCTCATAGCCCACAAAGCATAACCACAGTCTCTCTCGCAGGTGGTCCTCAGGGCAGCCACGCTCTGAGAAGGGACCGTCAGCCTGTCTTAACGGAGGGCAGCGCGGCCACCCGCTCCCAGAGCCCGTTGGCTCCAGAACCCGATTTTCCAAATCCTGGCAGGGCTCCCTCCGCCATGCAGGCTGCCGAGGTTGGAAGAGGACAAGCTTGTGCCTCACAAGGTGGGGAGGCTGACGAGAGCCAGGCCCTGTGGAAGGGACCACGTGCTTCGGGAGGCGGTTTGAATGGACAGAGAGAACACGTTCAGCTGAAGGGAGGGGGAGGCAGCTGTGCTCCTCCAGACTAGAGAAGCGCAGGTCCCCTCTTCCCAGGCCCCTCCTGCATAATACCTAGCAGAGGCCCGAGGCTCCTTTGGCGGGACGCCTGCTCTGCCGCGACAAGGCAGACACTGGCAGGCTCCCGGCCTGCCTTCGAGGTGCTGGCCGCTGGACCCACGCCCTCCTGGGGGGCTGACTGCCTGCCTCCCAGGTGGAAGCTGCCCAGGGATTTCCTGCCAGCTCCTTTCCACACTGCAAGGGGCGGGTCCTCTCCCTGCTGCTCACACCGCCTTCCCATCTCACTTCAGCGGTGAATTTAATGAAGGCGCCTCTTCCCCTGGGCCAAGAGAGACCTGGACAGGCAGAGTGGGGTCCCCCCCCCGCCCCCCGCCGCCCTGCTCCATCAACTCTCCTTGGGAGGTACGACAAGTCCAGCTGAGCTCCTGGGAGACTGTGCTGGCAGCATACAGAGCTTGGAGGCGGTGGGAGGGGCCCCATGACTGTGCCCCTTCCCTCTGGAGGGTCCCAGGGTCAAGGAGCGCGGTCATCTTCCTCGGGGAGCTGAGGCCAGGGCTGGTGTGGCTCTGAAGGGACCACATCAAGCCGCCCCACAGCCCCCTCGCTGCTGCCCTGGACACGTCCGTCCCCACGTCTTCTCCTTGGGGCTCCTTTCGTCTGCTTGGCCCCCTGAGCAGATGCCAAGGTCCGGCCCGGGGCAGCAGTGTGTGGAGGCAGGTAAGGGAAACAAGCCCCGGTTGGGAGTGGGACGGGCAGGGGTGTCAGAGGAGGCTGCACGCGCCCCAGCTGCCCCCGGAGAGGCAGGAATCCCCACTCGCACGCTCAGGCCGTGGGGCTGGATGAGCGCCTGGGGAGACCCTCTGTACTCAGAATTCATTTTCATGCCTCTGATAGAGAAACCGTTTGAGGGGAAATTCTTTATGTTCCATCGTTCCCTCGGTGCACGGGGTGGGGAGCCCACCGCAGCCGGTGCTCGGCAAGACTCCGGGGCGAATCAGACCTGCCCAGATTAATAGGGAAGAAGCACGAACAGCCCCAGGTTTGTGTGTGTGTTTTTTTAAATAGAGAATCTGTGGCATGGATGCCCAGAGGAGGCTGATGAGAGAAAGTCAAACTTCAAAGGGAGGTCATACTGAGTGAGACTGAAATTGGGTGGGAAGTGGGAGGAGGCAGCATGAAGTCAGGGCAGGACGGGGGTGGGGGAGGGACACAGCCTGGGGGAGGGAGAGAGGTAGGTAGGGACATGGATATGGGCAGCAGGACAAGGACAAGAGGCTTCACCTTCCTTCAGGTTTCAGGGCTCCACATCCCCCTTTTCTGGAAGATTCTTCCCCTGGATGTCCACGTGACTCTCTCCCTCCCTCCATTCAAGTTTCTGCTCAAATGCCCCTATGCCAGAGGCCTTCCCCTCGCCCGTTATAAGAGGGTCAGTGCCTCCCCGCCCACTCTCTGCAGCATGGCACTCTATGAGAGCGGGGACTGCGCTCGTTTCCTTCACGGCTGCACCAGGAGCTTAGAACAACGCCTGGCACGGAGCGGACTTTGCAGAGACACACATTTGTTAATGCATTAAGTGAGTGATCAGGCAGCTCTGGCCAGGTGGCTCAGTTGGTTGGAGCACGGTCCCATACACCAACAGGTTGCAGGTTCGATTCCCAGTCAGGGCACATACTTAGGTTGTAGGTTTGATCCCTGGTCGGGGAGTGTGCAGGAGGCAGCCAATCAATGTTTCTCTCTCACATTGATATTTCTCTCTCTTCCTTCCTTCCTTGTGAGGATAAAAAAACAACCCACCAAAACACACACAAAAACGAATGGCTCAATAGATGGGGACATATGTGCCCTCCTCACTCACGTCACCACCTGGATGGCGACAAAGCCCTGCTTAGGCCCAAGAGAAACCAGAAGGCGGGAGGACTGTGGCATCTGCCAGTGAGAATAAGGATCCTGCCTCCTCTCTAGGGGGAGCAGTTCCTTGAAGGAGGCTCCCTCCGCTCCCTTCATCTGTGCGGTGTGACCGGGACCTCCGTGGTAACGATGCCCAGACTTATAACACGACACTGCAGTTTCCAAACACCAGCTGGGGCCAGGACCCAGGGTCCTCAGGAAGGGCCCTGAATTGTGGACGCTGGGCAAAGCCGCTGAGCGCACTTGGCGCAGGAGCAAGGTCTCAGCCAAGAGAAAAACCAGAAGGAAAAGGTGCTCAGCTTCGCCAGTAGAGGGCGCTGTGAGCCTTCAAACCACCAGGTGGCCCCCTGATGAACGCCAGACCTAAAGGAAGGGGTTTCTGAAGGTTCTCCCAAGGCCCGCACTTGGGTCTGCATCAATTTCACAGGCTGCCAGCACTTGGCGTTTCTATTTCTCTCTCTTTCTCCCACCCTGTCATCAGCCCAGCTCTCTCTCCCATGAGACAAGGGCAGCAGAGTCGGGAAGGACAGTCAGAATCAGAGCTCAAAGGGACCTTGGAATCCCTCCCCGGCTCACCCCCTCTCTTCTTGACCAGAAAATGGCCCCGGGAGGTGAAAGGGTATGTCCAGAGGGTGGGGAGCAAGGAATGGGCCGCGGGAGCTGAGGTCGTTGGCTGGCTGTTGTGATGATGGCCTGAATGTTCACTGCAGGACAAGGAGCCTTGCCCGGGATGGGGCCCTAAGGTAGCAGCTGACAGTGCCAAGTGCACCAGGGTTACTGGTGCCAACCTTGGGGTCTCCGTGCTGCCAGGAGCCCTAGAGACCCAGCTTCCTAGTGACTGAGAGGAGGCACTCAGGCAGCCCGGACTTTGAGGAGGAAAGCAGCAGGGAGAGAAGAAGTCTCATTAGGGACTTGAATTTCAGGCTCTCAGGTACCGGATGCCCACCCAGGTGGGCAGAGGCTGTGCTGGACGAGGCCACTCTATGTTCCTTCTAAAGAACAGAGAGGAACAGGGTGATCTTGCTGGGCACCCCTTTTTGTACTCTCGAGTTTGCTGTCCTCTCTCTCACCATCTCTGTGGGTGCCGCACCCTCTCTGGGTGCCCGGCCCCTGGGAGAGGCGCTTCTCCAGGGCACAGTCCAGGGCTGCCTGGCTGGCTGCTGGGCACCCTGTGAGTGGTGTGACTGAGCAAAGACTGCCCAAGGCACTTAAGCAGGGAACTGATGCTGAGAGACTTGGGAAAGGCAGCAAGGAGGGACAAGACAATGGGCCTCTCGTTTCTATGGAAACAGCACCTCAGGGTGAGGGGCTGAAGGAAGAGAAAGCTTCCACTTCACCTCCATCAGGACTTGGGAAATGGCCCCTTTTGTTGTTGGGCTCACCCCTCCTCCTCCCTTCCCTGCCAGGTGTTCACCATGGCAACCGTGCCTCCAAACAAGAGGTGCAAAGCAGCCACAGCATCTGGTGTTGGGGGAACCAGGGAGCCCTGGGGAAATGGGACTAGGCTAGTCACACCCCTCCCACCCTCCCGCAGAACATGAGTCCTGGCCCCAGTCCCACTGTGCCTAGGGACCACTGAAGTCACCTCTCCAAGTTATTGTGGGGCCAAGTGAGAGAGAAAGCACCCAGGGAAGGACCTAGCACACGGAGGTGCTCAATAAATGCTTCCTGGCCAACAGTGGTGCAGCACTGGTGCTCCCGCTGGGCCCCGATTCACCGAGACTCCAGGCCTGGCCTCACGTTAAGAGCAGAGCATGTCAGGCCCTGTAGCAGGGCTGTGGGAGGAACGGAGGGGAAGAGCCTTGCACTCAGGCCATTCACTATCAGGTCAAAGCGGAGGCTGTGGGCGATGCAGGGGTCCTGAGCTGCTCAGCCTGCCCAGGGCCAGGCCTTAGGCCCCGTCATGGTCACTCCCTGGCAGGCCAGGAGCCAGTCACTGCTGCAAGGCCCCAGAGCCACGGAGGGAGAAAGCCCCACATGGCAACCTTTTTGACTCCGAGATGCTGACAAGAGAAAAGGCACCAGCAGCAGCCCTGGCTGTCACCACCAGCCTCTGGAACGGCCACACTGGAAACTGCTCCAGAGACAGAGATAAAGGCCAGGTCCTCTAGGGCAAGCATGTCAAACCCACGGGCCGCATGCAGCCCACAACGAATATGTTTGCGGCCCAGCCAATATAACGGCATGTAAGAAATGTTTTAACAAAAATTTCATAGCTTAATGTTTACAATATCCTGTTATACATAATAATGAATAACGAACTACAACGTTTGCTAATGACTGATTACTATAATTGTGCTGCATTCATTTCCCTTACACCCCTTACACACAGGCACACCATTTCTCTCCACTAATACTAGCAGCGAATATTTTAGCACAGCCGATTTGCCATGTCATTAGTCTTGTACTGACTTTTTGGTGTGCGCAACAGGAAATGTTTTGCTTCAGGAGAACAAGAAAAATAGGTTTACTTACTTGCGTTACGCTTTTATATATATATATATGTATGTATATGTGTATATATTGAGCCAAGCCAGCCAAGGTGTGTTACGCTTATTGATGTGTAGTTATTCAGTGTCTGGTAAGTTAATGTGCAGAAAATATTAATTTTTAATAAAACATTCTATTATTTTATGTTAACAATGACTCATTTATTTCAGCCCTTTGTATTCAGCATGTCTCTATCAAAATAAACCTATGTTCCTATGAGAATTGAAGCTTTTGTTCTTTTGCAGCCCTCATACACTTAAACCTTGTTTATTCGGCCCATGGTAGCCTTTGAATTGGACTTGCTTGCTAGGGGATCGCAGTGAGACAGCCAGGAGGATATCACCGTCAGGAACAATCTCTCCTGGAGGTAAGCAGCCGGCAAACACCGCTTATCAGATAAGCACAGGGGAGGAACCCCGTTCAGCCACTTCCTAGCAGAATGAGGAAAGGGGGTCAGGGCGGGGTGGGGCGCAGGTGAGGGTGGGGTGTGTTTGTCCGGGTTAGATCCTGATGACAAGGAACCAGCTTTGCTAGCTGGATCCCTAGACTCAGAGGCAGGGTCGAGCCTTAGCCCTGCCACTCCGCTGCGCTGTGCCCCTGTGGCTTATCTACAGAGGAGAACCTTCCTCAGACTCCCCCACGCCCGGCACTGTTCTGAGCACCTTGTAGCCTCAGAACAGCTGGGCAAGGCAAGCGCATCCTCCCTTTCAGAGAAGAGGAAACGGAAACTCAGACCCGCAGTGGCCGGCCCAGACCATGAGCTAGAGCAGTGATGGCGAACCCTTTGAGCTCGGCGTGTCAGCATTTTGAAAAACCCTAACTTAACTCTGGAGCCGTGTCACATATAGGAATTTTTTGATATTTGCAACCATAGTAAAACAAAGACTTATATTTTGATATTTATTTTATATATTTAAATGCTATTTAACAACGAAAAATCCACCAAAAAATGAGTTCGCGTGTCACCTCTGACACGCGTGTCATAGGTTCGCCATCACTGAGCTAGATGAAAGCAAGGGCAGAGTGGGAACGGACTGTCTGACCCAGACCAGCAGGGCTCTCCCCAGGCCAGCACGCTGCCTTTCTGCAGGTCCAAGACTCTGCTCTCCAATACGGGCCTGGGGCCGGGGAGCTCGGGGCCAGGGAGGGCTCACCTGAGGCGTTGGCACTGGAGCCCTCGTTGGTCCTCTTCCCCTTGAACTCCACTTCAGCGAAGTTCTCCGTGGAGAGGGAGCTGGCCATGCCGTTGGGCGTTGCAGGCCTCTTGGTCCGGATGCTGAAGAACCTGGAGCTCAAGCGCTTGCCCTCCTTGGCCTGGGCGGCCTCGCCGTTGAGCGCTTCTCCCTTGCCATTTCGGGCCAGAGCCTCTCGGGGGGAGACCAGCCTGCCAGGCTTCCGCCTCAGCTCTCCCGAGGGCATGGGCTCCACGGCGGGCAGCACCTGCTCCAGCGTGACCAGGTCATTCAGGAAGTTCTCCAGGCGCTGGGCTGACTCGCTGCCTCCGCTGCCCTCTTCCTGCCCCTCCGGGTTGCCGCCCGCCTCCCGCTGCTGCCGGGCAGCCCAGCGCATCATCTCCCCCGGCGGGTGGCGGCTCCCGGACACCAGGGCGTACTTGGGGTTGATGAGCTTGCGAGCCACCGTGGAGGAGTAAGGGCCGAATATGCCTGCGCCTCCTGCCAGGCTCAGCTGCTGGTACAAGTTCACCTCCTCGGAGATGGCGTACAGTTCCCGGAACTCCACGTCGAAGGGCTCCACGTTCTGCCCCGTCAGGAGGAGGAGGAGGTTCCTGTCCAGGTAAGAGGAACTCCAGGTGAACCTGGGAAGGTAGGGACGGAAAAGCAAGACACATGAGCCCAGGCCAGTGACCTCGCCCCCTACCAAGCAGGCCCATCTCCACAGCCGGCTGCGCCCGCCCCAGCCTGATCGCCCACTGAGGCTGATGCCTGGCTGCCCCGGGGAAGGCACCGCCCAGCCTTCTTGCTGGGAACCTGTCCCTCCCCTGAACCAAGTCTCCCTTTTTCCCCAGGTCTTGGCCTCCAGTGCAGAAAGCAGGCAGTGGGTGCCAGCAAGGAGACCAGAAGTCGGGCCTGGATTCAGTCCTGGTTTCTACCCTGTGCGCCTTTGTACAACGGGGCTCACAGGGTGCACCGTCTCAGAGCTGTTGCGAGGCTCGGGTGAGAGAACGTGGCTACACCAGCGCAGTGGCTGCCACAACGCACACATTTAATAAGTGGTCACTGGAGCTGCTGCTGTTCTTAAGGTCATTCCACTCCTTGTTGGTTCTCCTGTGAATCTCCTACACACCGAGTGTCTGCGAACCCCCTATTCTAACTACAAGAGGACGGAGGTCATGTATTACTGGCTTCGGTGCCCAGGTTTCTTTTTGGACCTAGATTTCATTCACGTGGAGGGCAGACCCTTGCACAGATCTAGTCTCTCACATTCCTGGTGATTTACTTCAGCCTCAGAATTCGGGGGACATTCCTTCCAGGCCACACCCTCACATTTCTTTCCCAGATCAGATCCATTCCGCTTCCTGCTTGTCCCGCCTAAAAAACGAGCCTCACAATGCAGCCATCGGCTGTGGACCATGAAAAGCAGGCGGCCCTTAATGTCCGGGAAGAGCTGGCCCTTTTTATGGAATAACCCGGTAGCCACAAAGTTTGAGGGGAAGGACGAGCCAGGAGGCTATTTTTTGCCATCGGATCAGACAATACCTCTTAAACCCAGGACCACGGAGGCCCCGGCCCCGCCCATGCCTGAGTGTGAACATTTATTAGGAGGAATAAAGGCCTCCCAGGCCCTTCTCTGACCTGTAAGACCCTGTGGCTACTTTGTCACCATCTACCATTAAGAACTTTGATGACAGGGTCCCTTTGATCTTCCCCATGGGCATGTAGAAGCCAACGCCCGTCACGGAGCGGACACGGATGTTCTGTGGAGAAGAAAAGAAAGACAGCGTCACTCAGGTTGGGGCCTGCAAGCCTCTGAGCTGGGGCAGAGGAGGAGCTCTCTCGTCCACGGGACCTGCCTGCTGGCTCCTGTCTGCACTCAGCTCTGCTCCCGATGGCCTTCCAGGGGAACCCCAACTAGACAGCAGGAAGTAGTCAGCAAATCTTGCTTTGGGTGTGGATAAGCTCAGGGTGGTTCCTGCCGGTGCCCAGAGCTCCCCAGAAGAGAACCACGGCCCTAGCTTTGACCTTGGACTATGGGCTGAGCACCCCAGATCTGGGCCAGAGCTGCCTCCTTCGCCTCAGCAGTCTTGTGATATAATTTAAGCTTGGCGTGTACTTTTAGGGCTATCGGTTCACAAGATCAGGTTTTAGACAGAAGGGATTGAGATCTTGATGTTCATCTGAGCCCCTGAACTGGAGAAGAGGCGGAGAAAGGGGCAGAGGCCATCTCTGTCTCAATTTCTGGTCCTCACATGGCCGGCCACAGTGGTGCATCTCACCCGAATACGGTAGTCCGTGAGCTCCAGGCCCTGACACATCTCCAGGAAATACTTCACACCCGACTCATCCAGGATGATGTACACGGGGACGCGGCGCTTAGAGGCAGCGTCCACAATGTCTTGGAAGATGTCGCCATCGGTGAAGAGGTCCATGACCACAGCAATGACCTGGATCGGGAAGGGCACTGGTGAGGAACAAGGCGACTACATACCTGCAGAGACACACCTGGGCCCAGAGAGGACCAGCTGGACCTGGAGTTCCTGGTGGCCAACAGTCAAAAACTCTGTCGGTACCTCACCTGGGTGCTCTACTTCCTCACCCATGTCTGAGCACACCGGGGCCCTCTGCTCTGGGAAACCCCCGAGGGTGCAGGCCATCCCTGACAAACCTCTCCCCCCTAAGGATTTCCCAGCCGCTCTGCAGAAGCCATATGGGCGAGAACCGGGAGGCTGAGGATAGCTGCTCGTGGTCCCCACGGAGACAAGCAGGCTCAGAAGATGTGATCACCGAAAGGCAAGGAATGGACTCATTTCCACCAGCCACAGATCTGCACCAACACGGCTTTCTCCGCAGGTGCTCCGACCTCCCTGCAGCTTCCCTAAGGGCCAAGCTAAGGGGAAAGCCCTGCACTTCCCTATGGGCCCATCTGGGCAGAGCTCCAGTGAGCTTGGCGTGCAGACCATCCCACTCCATCCTCAAAGCAAGGTCACTGCTGAGGACGCTTGATTTCCAAGTCAGTCCTGACGAGCCGTGCTGGCAGGCCAGGCCTTCTGCAGCCTGAGGCATGCTTTTCTGACCTCAGCTTCCTCTATTTTCTCCCCCCCCGCCGCCCCCGCCCCAGCTCCAGTGCAAGGGTTTTCTACATGATGCAGAAGGAAGAGCATGCTTTGGGGGCAGAGAGATCTGGCTATGTGACCTTTCCTGTTATGTGACCTTAGGCAAGTCACTTAATCTTGATGAGCCTCCTTATCTGCAAAGTAGAGGTGCCCTGTACATACTTTCGCCATTAGGATGACAGATAAGGTCTGGGAAGCATCAAACACACTGCCTGGAATGGAGTGAGTCTTCAATAAATGGTAGTGGTTGTGTGGATGAGGGCACCTGCCGGTCAAGTCAGACAGACCAGACCTGGGTCCCAACTCACTGCTGACTCGTCAGAGCCCTGGTTTCCTCGGCAGCAAAACGGAGCTAAGAGTAACACCTCCTCAAAGGGCTGTCGGGAGGGCTGAGAGACTGTGAAAGCACTTAACACAGTGCCCCGCACATGGGAAACCCAGTAAGTGGTACCCTCCACACCATCACCATCGTTTCTGTCACCACCTTCACACGTGTGCATTGCCGCGACTCCTGTCTCTAAAGAACTCCACCCCCAACACCATCTACACACTGTTATTTAAGGCTCTTCTTAGCTCCTGCATTTAACACCCAATTGCGTATACAAGTAACATTTACTGAGCTGCCCGGGCAGAGGGAGGATCTAACGACAAATAAGCTCTAATCCCTAACTTCAAGGGATTAATCCGGGAGGAATGATAAGACATTTGCACAAAAGAACTGAGACATCAGGTAAAATGGAATAAAAGCCTGAAGAGATGCAGAGATGAGATGTGATGTGAATTCAGGGTGGGGGCCAGGGGCTGAAGGAAGGGAAGAGACTGATTACTCTCAGCCAGGGGAGAACAAGGAACCCGTCAGCGAGGAAGCCGGAACCTGAAGAACGGGCGGCCGGGGGCACCATGAGAAATGCGCAGAGAGGGACACAGAGCAGGGCAGGGGGCAGGGCGGCCAGGCCTGGGCATGCAGGTTGTGCACTGCATGGGCACTGGGCCGGTGGTGCGTGGGAACTGTGCCTGCCTGAGGAAGGGACAGCTCTTCTAATCTGCACACAGGTGCCACCTGGGCCAGCAGGTGCCTAGCAGGTGGGCATGTCAGGCAAACAGCACAGCGGAAAGGCCCTGGAGACGGGGATTAACATGCACCGAGCACTTAGAACGGGCCCCACACTGTTCCAGGTGCTTTAGGTCACTTTTCCAATATGATCCTCGCAATGAGGAGGATTGGAATCCCCCTTCTGCAGACGAGGACGTGAATGCAAAGGGGCATAGAAATGTGCTCCAGGCCACACAGCGTGTAGCAGAGCAGGGATTTGAACTCGGGTCTTCATTTGCACTCAACCATGTCACTGCATCACACTGGTTCACAAAGATGTGGCAGCTGTAAGTTATTTTAGACACATCACATAAAAAACTGACTTTCTAAAAAGACTACACAAGATAGACAAACTTCTAGCAAGACTGACAAAAACAGAGGATATGCAAATAAAAGAAAAAACAGAGAAATAACTACAGACGTTTACTTTTTAAGAAATTCTTAATTTTAAAGAAATGATAAAAAAGAATATTAGGACCATTTATACATCAATGAATTTAAAAATAAAAATGACATAAGTCATTAAAAGCGAATTAAACATAACACGGCATAATCAAGTAAGGTTTATCCTAGGAATGTAAGAATTATTGAATATCAGAAAATATATGATTTTAATTTATAACATTTATGGTGTCAAGGAGGGGAAATCATACATTACCTTAATAGGTTTTCAAAAAATATTTGATAACACTAGACTCCTATTTGTGATTAAAATTCTCAAAAATACTAGAAGTAGAAGGGACCTTAACTTGATAAAGGCTAACTACTAAAAACCCACCTGAAGCATTTTAGATGCAATCCCTTTAAGTCTCAAGCAAATAAAAAATACTCACTATCACCACTGCTATTTAACAAAGCATTAGAGGTCCTAACCAATGCACTATGACAAGAAAAAAAATAAGAGCTAGAAGGATTAGAAGAAACAAAAACTACCAGTATTTACAGATATATTTTTCTTATAGAAAAACCTCCTACAATGCAGAGAAAAACTATTAAAATTAATAGAATTTGGCAAGATTGCCATCTACAAGAAAAACATACAAAAACCAATAACATTCCTCTACTACAAAAATAATCAACTAAAAAGAAAATAAGATCCCCCCAAAATTGCAACTTAAGCACATAGTTTCTTCATTTTAAATTTGCAGAAATTTATAAAACTCTATTAAAAACATCTTTTTAAATAAGTGAATAAAGGAAGGATAAATCATATTCATGGATAATCTGATTTGATATTTAAAAATCCAATTCTCCCATATTAACCAGTTAACTGCCATGCATCCAAAATGGACACCATCCTCATTTCTTCCATATGTGCTGGAATATTTATGAATTTAAGTTACCATAATTTTCCTTACAAACCCAGAGATATCACTAACAAGTCTGATTTTAAAACTGGGCAGCCAGAGTTGATATGGGAGGTTTGCAGCTATAGATGCGCGTGGGGTGTGGGGAAGGTCCACCGCTTGCGTCTATAGACACTTATGGCTACAAAGGGTTAATAAAGTCCAATAAATCCAATAAAAGTTCAGTATATTTTTTGAGGAACCCAAATACTTCTAAGATGTGAGAAATAATAAAGATCCGTAATAGCTAGGTCAGTTTTGAAAAAGAAAAGCTAAAAGGGAACACTTGTCCTACCAGATAGTAAGATATACTACAGCGCTATAGTAATAAGAACTGTGGTACTGAAGTAGGAAGGAACTAACAAATAGACTGATGGAATATAATGGAGAGACCAGAAACATATGTGTACCTATAAACCTGCATAAAAATTTAAGTCTGATAGAGGTAGAATCACAACTCAGTGGAGAAAGGATGCTGTTTAGTAGATGCTATTGGGGAAATTGGCTTACTGTATAGAGAAAAATAAGTGGATCCCTACCTCACACTATATATAAAGGTGAATTTCAGGTAGGCTAAATACCTGAATGTGAAAGATAAAACTAAGGATTGCTTAAGAGTCCAAAAGTACAAATCATAAGGCAAATAAAAATTTTAAAAGACGTGCTCCACAAATTAGGAATTTTTTTGTTCAAAGAAAGATGCCATAGACAAAGGTAACTGAAGGGTGACAGGGAGAAGATATCTGCCATATCTATGATCAAAAGGAATTAATAATAAACAAGGGATCCCTGCAAATTTTTTAATTAATTATTTTTTTTTAGAGAGAGAGAGGAAGGGAAAGGGAGAGGGAGAGGAAGAGAGAGAGAGAGAGAGTGAGAGAGATCAATTTGTTGTACATTTATTTATATATCCATTGGTTGATTCTTGTATATGCCTTGACCCAGGATTGAACTCTCAACCTTGGCATATATGAAAGACGCTCTAACCAAGTGAGCTACCCATCTAGGGCCAGGACCTCTGCTAATTGGCAAGGAAAAAAAACTCCTGGATCTTTGCACAGGCCTATAAGGGGACAGGGACAAGGACACTCACTGCAGCTTTCTCTAGGATAGCAAAGAGTTGGCAACAACTGAGATGTGAATTTCTAGGAGAACAGATATGGACAACGTCAAGAATGGACACAGCAGCGCAGCGGACAGAGCAATGAACTAGTTCTGCACACAGAACTTGAATAGTTACCTTTAAAACAGAGAGTCTGATTTAAAATGCTGGAGGATGAGATCTATAGCCTAATAGCAGCGTAAATAAAATAACACAGTGTGTTTTTCAAGGATACAGACGTGACCAAGGACATATGCTTAAGGGTGGCTGCCTAGGGAAGGAGAAAGTAAAGGAAGAGGGAGGGGTCCTCCATGGACAGATGATGGCCGTGGACCACGAACTGCAGCTCACAATCAGCGCTGTGTTTGCGACCCGGAACCAACAGCTGACCGGGAACAGTCCGGGGTAGGTGTGGCGGTGGGGTTGGGCTTAAGTACAGAGGGTTTTAACATGACGCTTCCGGCCTCCTTCCGTCAAACACGGCCTCCCACCGTCTTGGAGGGTCCTGATGTCTTATCTCCCCAGCGCTGTCTGAGGCCAGAGTCCGCCAGCTGCTCATTTCCAAGCTCTCCACAGTGTGCAGCTTAAAGTCCACGCTCAATCTATGGCTGGACATTGCTTGACTGGCCGAGGGAGGCGCTTCTGGATTCACACTGCGGCTTCTTTTGTTTTGTGATGGAAAGAGCAGGCACGGAGCCCGCTGCCCTGCCCCCGCCTGCGAAGGCTGTGATGGGACAGGATCACCAATTGGAGGGAGAGAGAATCCGAGGGCCCTATTTTCGGGCTGGGT